ATGCCACATAGAATATAAAGAAATGCAAAGATTTGAGCACTGAACAAGATTGAAAAGGAAGTTAAAAGGACAAGACTGAAATATAGAGATAACTGAGTCTACAGATTTTCTTGATTGATGTATTGTCAATTATAATAAAAATGAAAGAAATAGAAATTTATATTACTATTTTTCACAAATAAACCAAAATCTTTAAATTTATTTTGGGGATGAGGTGGGGATTAACAAAAGTAGGTAAGTTCAACAAGTGGGTAAGTTCTCTGTAAGTGAATGTTTTGTTAAAACATCAGTTTTATAATTGTCCATCTATGTCCTTGTAATGTGTGGCAGGATAAAGTTTTCGGTTTGTTGTTTTTTTCAGTATATCTTACGAACCTTAAAACTCAAAGCTTGTTTTCTGTGTACTTAAGGTTTTTTTAAAGTAAATGTTTTGCTTATTAAGAAATAAATCTGAAACTATATGATATGTTTTATCTTTCATAATTAGATAAGTATAGATAGTATTAAATAAAATAATACATCCGAAATTTTGAGTACTTAATGTATTGGGATATTTCCTGCTGAGTTAGTACTAACTTGATTTCTAATAGGAAAGAATAAGAGCTTATTCTTTACTGGCTGGGATTGTGTTTTCTCAAGATTTTGATTCAGAGAGGCAATTTGATTCTAAGATATAATATTATAAATAATGTGAAAATATTCAGAATACGAGCCTACAAAATCAAAGATTAGCTGACAGCTTTATGTAGATGATATTACTATTTGAATAGCAGTGAATCAATGCTACCCTACTACTAAATATTGTAGACTTATCTGAGAGGCCTACAATAAAATTTAAGGGTACATATTCTAGTGAAATAAGAGTACTGCAAATACAGCCTCCTCCCTAATTCTCTCCCTTCACTTCATTCTTTCATAGTCAAGAATAGGTATAGAGGTAGAAAACAGTTGCTTAAAAAAATGTTTGTAAGTACCCAAGACACTGATACTTGCTAAAGGAATTCAAGATAGATGTGCTGTATTTTGTAAGTTTGAATACAGATTGTCCATTTAGGATAATATTGCTGTATTTGATTTCCTTAAGTGTTGAGACCACTTTTATAAGTAGTTAAAAGACCGGTTTGTTATTGCATTTGTTTGTATGTGAATAGAATTGACATGGAAACATCAATCATCATTAAATATATTTTCTTACAATATCTTTTTTTAAATAGCTGTTACATAGTTCCTGCCGAGTGCTTCACTTTTTCACTAGAAGTAAACGACTTTTTGCAGCCAGTTTGTTCACTTTCACAACCCAGCATAGTTCTTTGCGATTAGCCTGGATTTTACAGAATCTGACTGAGGTAAGAAAAGATTGTGTGTGTAGAAATAAGATAAAGACTATGGGGAAGAAAAAAATTCAAGGAATAAAAACAGTAATTGATTATTTCAGGGAAAATTAAGTGTCTACCATATATTGGAATGGATGGCAAGGCATAACTGATTTGTTTTTTAAAACTTTTTATTTTGTCAGCACATCTAGAAAGGTGAACAAAACAAAAATATACCACTCAGTGAGACAGTGTGGAACAAACATCTGTGTAACACCACCTGGATCAAAAACTAGAATGCTGTGATATTTTATATCACATTTTCTTTCTACTTTTACAATTTATGTGTTTATTCCTCAACACCATGCTTAAGTTTTGCCTAAATATTTTTGACCTATATAAATTGAATCGTACAGTGTATATCTTTTGCTTGTATTTTTAGTTGTCCAGCTAATTTTTTCTGTTTCTAGTAGAGACGGGGTCTCAGTCAGATTTCCAGATTTCCTTTGCTTAACATTGTGAAATATACCCATGTTGTGTGTCAGTTAATTTGCTTATAGTTTCAGTGCTCTTTACTATTCACTATATGATTTTGCCACAGTTTATTTATCTATTTTGTTCATGTACATTTGGGTTATTTCCAGTTTTTGGCTATTGTGAATAATGCTTCTCTTGATATACATGTAAATGCTGTGTCTATATAAATGAATTTTTAGGGCATGAATGTGTCTATATCTTCACCTTTAGTGAATAATGTCAAAACACTTTTCTAAAGTGGTTATTAATGTAACAGTTTACACACCCATCATCAGTGATGACAGGAATTTGGATTTCATTTATTATCACAATTGATATCAGTTTTTTATATTTCAGCCATATGGGTAAGAATAACTCATTGTGATTTTAGACTGGATACAAAACAAGATCCAAGTATGCTGTCTAAAGGGATACACGTTAGATGAAAAAATATAAATATGGGCTGGGCATGGTGGCTCACGCCTGTAATCCTAGTACTCTGGGAGGCCAAGGCAGGCAGAGCGTTTGAACTCAGGAGTTTGAGACCAGCCTGAGCAAGACTGAGACCCCGTCTCTAGTAGAAACAGAAAAAATTAGCTGGACATCTAAAAATAGAAACAAAAATTAGCTGGGCATGGTGGTGAGCACCTGTAGTCCCAGCTACTTGGGAGGCTGAGGCAGGAGGATCACTTGAGCCCAGGAGTTTGAGGTTGCTGTGAACTAGGCTGACGCCATGGTACTCGAGCCTGGGCAACAGAGTGAGACTCTGTCTCAAAAAAAATACAAGTATTTTAAAAGTAAATGAATGGAAAAGATGTATCATGCAAAGAGCAACCACAAAAAGCTGGAGTGGCTATGTTAATATAAGACAGTGTAGACTCTGAAACAAAAAAAATGTCACTAAAGATAAAAAGGGAATTTTATAATGAGAAGATCAATTCATCAGTAATATATAACAGTTATATACATATGTAATAATGTTGCTGAATGCAGGTATGGCTGCCTGCCACCTGAGAACCAAACATGAGAGGCGAGTGTTGGTGAAGGGAAGGTAGTTTATTCAAGTGCCAGCAGCCTGAGGAGATGGCAGACTGTTGTCTCAAAGACCATCTTGTCACCTCTGCTTACTGAGCAACTTATAATGGGAAGGGGTAAAGGTGGTTGATGACAGAAAGCAAGCATTGTGCCAGTAATAATGATTTGCTCTCTGGTTATCACCAAACAATAGGTCATCTGGTAGATCTTGTTATCAGCAGTCTGTGGGTGGCCTATTTTGGAGATTGTTTTCCAATCTTGTGCCCAGCAGCTGTGTAAGCAAGCAGCAGGTTAATTTTAAACTTTTAAGACAGAACAGGCCAAAGGCATACTGGAAGCAAAATGGCTTCCCTTTAGCCAGCCCAGCGTTACCGTCTGAATGGCCCTTGGGCTGTGCTTACAATAACATAGCCTCATAATACATGTAGCAAAAGCTGACAGAGGTGAAGGACAAAATAGATAATTGGACAGTAATAGTTGGAGACTTCAATACCCCACTTTCAAAAATGAATAGAACAACTAGACAGAAGATCAATAAGGAAATAGAAAGTTTGAATAACAATAAAAATGAACTAGACCTAATAGACATCCATCCAAAACAGCACATCCAAAAACAGCACAATATACATTCTTTTCAAGTACACGTGGAACCTTCTTGAGGAAAGACCATATGCTAGGCCATAATACAAGCCTCAATAAATTTAAAAGGATTGAAATCATATAAAGTATGTTCTCTGACCAAAAAGAAATGAAATTAGAAGTAAATAACAGAAGAAAATTTGGGAAGTTCAAAAATATGTGGAAATTAAACAATACACTTTTAGATACCCAAAGAAGAAATCACAAGAGAAATTAGGAAATACTTTGAGATGAATGAAATGGAGAAACAACATACCAAAATTTACTGGATTCAGGTAAAAAAGTGCCTAGAAGGAAATTTATGGCCAGACTATATTACATATAGAAGGCTATATTTAAAAAGAAGAAAAAAATCAAATCAATAATCTAGCATTCTACCTTAAGACACTGGAAAAAGATGAGCAAATTAGCAGA